ACAAATACACGATTCCAGTAAAGAGACTGCATTTCCTGGGAACTGTCATGTGAAACATGGGGTCACGGGTGCACAGGAGAACCTATTAGGGTGTCACTTAGCCTGATGTGAGACAGAGAATCTCTGTGAGCACAATTTTTCATTTTTTCTTCTTTGCTCTGAGATTGCCTTGCATGAGTTTGTAAAAATCAGCATCAGCACCCTGGATGTAAAACCATCGTCAGTTAAGCCTATCTTGTGCACTATCAGAAATCTGTGGATATCAACAGCTTTGATGTGAAAATACAAGCAAAATGGCAGGCCCAAGCAAAGCCCTGGGACTGAAGGAGAGCTCATGGAATTGGGCAGCACTAGGAGAGATGATCTTTAAGTAGGAAAGGGCATAAAACCTTAGCTATGACAGCATTTGTACTCACTACCACAGCTCTGATATTCAGCAGTTCTCTCCTCTAAAGACTGAGGCTTCATTCAAGCAATGGAAAAATGGGCGATATTTGTTGTGGTCCCATTCTACTGCCAAATAGAATTACTTCAGAAAATTCTCTCCTGAACGTGCCTGTGACTCATCTGCGGTTTGCACCTAGACTGTCAGCGGAGGAGGTGCAGAAGCTGCAGCATGAGTAGGTTGCAGGATAACTCTGTCTAGAACTACTCCCACGTGGGGAACAGCTTGAAGTGCCAACAGCTCTGGCGGCAGGGGTTTTCCCATGTGGTAGGCAAACTCTTCCTGCCCTTTTTGTGTTTGAAGTGCATATATGGAAGTTTGTGGATTTGTCGGAGAAACCTGAGAAAGTTTACTGCATGCAGACAGGTTGCTGCACAGACCTTTCTGCTGTAGTGGAACTTTCACTGTTATTCAGAAAGAAAAAGGAGCAACGGAAGAAACAGCCCAAAAGCATTTACCAACCACTGCCTTATCTGCCCAAGCTGGCTGACTTTTCACGGGTAGAGATAAATTTGCTCATGGGATTGAAAGAAAAGGAAAATTCTTGAGAAAGACTTGTCAGTTTGGTCTAATGAGCAGCTTTGCTCTCTTACCTAGATGATGACTGATAAAAAAAAAAGAAACCACAGTGACTGCATTAAAAACAAGAGTAAGATACCTGTTTTTTTACCATGTGGTTAATAAAACCACATGTTAAATAGGACACGGTAGGCTTATCAGTATATATAAGTATGCCATCCAATCTGAAGATTGGCCATTTCTGACCAAAAGTGATGCAAACCTGTGTAGACTGACCAGATGTGTGAAAGATAAAACATGCATCTCTTTTCCAATTACATTTTTGCATCTTTTTCCTGACAGGTCTTTTGATATCTGGCAGGGAAACGTGCCCTTTAAGAAGCATGTATGCAATGCAGGGAGCACATGGGGCAGTGCTTATACTAATCATATGATCAAGAAATTGGAATTCCTCTCCCTCCCTCACAAACTCTCTCTCCATTGTTAATTTACTGGCTACATTACAGACATTACATGCTTACCAGATCACGACTTGTCTCCACATAACAAAGCACAATTCCTCCTACAGTTAGCTCTATCGGCTCTTTATTACCTAGATCAAGAAGCTGATTTCTTTATGCCTCCCATCTTCTTTTTCTTTACCTTTCTTTCTTAACATGCTATTTCTACAGGTTTTTCTCTAATAATGTCATGAGCCTACGTCTATAATACTGCATCAGTCAGAATTAGACTGCATGTTCTTTGGGTCGAGGCCTTGCTTTGCTCTTCTGCAATCTGATTCAAGGAACTAACAGTTTATGGTATCACTGGATCATGGTGGCCTGGCACACTGAAATTGGAATTCAAAGAACAGAGCTGGGACTAGGTGGGATTCAGCACCTCAGGATTTTTTTCTGTCCTGCATGCTCAAAAGCCCTGGTGCCCCATGGTTTTCTATTTTTAATAGCATCATCAATAATTTCTATTAGCAAAGGAGCATGATTGCCAGGAGGCAGCCTAAATTCCCCAGGGAATCCATGTCCTTGCTCCGATGACACATTGATTCTATTTATATGAGGACACGCTTTCAATGAGAACAATAACAAGAAGTGTGTCATTCTGGCACGTATTGATGACCTACACTGGTGTGTGCCAACAACACAGCAAATGCAGTGTATCATGGGGTGTGTTGTAGCTCCACGCACAGAAACATAAAAGCAGAGAGGGCTTTTTGCTCCTGATTACAACTATTTCATCACATTTGCTTGGGACCATGTCTCAGGGAAAGCTCTCTCTATTGAGGTAGTTGCTTAGAGATTTGTCTTACCTGACTGATGTGAAACATACACAGATTTTTCTCCTACATATTGAGTGCTCCTATCTCATTTTGCCCAGGAGTTTTATAGATACTCTGTGTTTTATAATTTTTGATATTTTTTCCCATTAACTGTTAAAATTTCTCCAAAAACCTATCAAGGAATTTCTGTTTCAAGATTCAAAGGGTCTAACATTTATGTTCCAAACTCACTGTCATTCAGAGGCCTTCCCCCTTACTTCTTAGACTTGGCTTTGAATCAGATAGATTTACAACACAAAAATACATAGCATTTTCTTTTTTATTTCCTGTTTACTTCTTTTTCTCAATTAATTCTTTTTGCTGGTCAGACTATGCGATGATTAGTCTCTTTGTTACTTTGCGACAGAAAACTCGCTGTTCAAGAACTCTAGAAAAATAACATGCAGCTAGCAGTCAGAAATAAAATTTAGAGATATAGACTAGAAAACATTATGCTTCAAGGAACGTATGCAAACAAGACCATAAATGAACCCTGTGAACATTTTCAGAGAAAAAATATTCCTTATAGATAATATCTGCATTGATGTATTCTTACAGTATTTATCTCAGATTGAAAAATAACTTTAGATAAGTCTCTCAACATATGACATTTTGCAAGTGACACAGTTGGCATAAAATTATCCTTTCATAAGCACAATCATAAAATGGGTATTCCATAATATTATTCATAACTCACTTTCTAAGAAAAGAATGGAAGGGTTTTTTATCATTTTAGATAAAACAATTCTATAATCTAGGTAACCAGGAAAGATGGAGAAGAATCCATAGATTTTGTGTTAGTAAGAGAAAGGTTTAGTTGTTAATTAAAAAAAAAAAGTCTTGCACTGGCCAATAATGAGAAGCTTAATAATCTTCAAAGAATTCCCTACTAAAAATGTTGCTAAATGTCCTAAATTTCTAATTTAAGTTCTTAAAAGGGATGAGTTGCCATAAGCAATATTCACTGCAATTTGGTAAGCTTTTGCAAGTACTTTGTAGAGAAGATTTAGGGGCAAAAAAATGTTGCGTGAACTAGATCTGCGAAGCAGCTGCTGTAGTGGTGCAGTTGTAGAACAGCCACAAGATGGAAGAACAGACATTTTCTTGATATCTGTTTTGTTTCAAACCAATTTCAATGGTAGATTAATTTGTCTCATTACACAAAGTTATGGAGCCAAGCTGATTTCTTCAAGTACAAGTACCTTCCATAGCTGGATCTTTAATGACCAGATCTCAAAACTTAATTCTGAAAGTTCTCACAGTTTGGGAAAGTTGAAATATACATCTTCAAATAACATGAGCTCTATCCAACATTTTGTTTAAAATGAACAATGCTTTTCGTCATGCAACACTAACTTTCATCTACGGTTCTTTCTGACACTGAAGAAGCCAAAGAAAGTCTAAAAAAGATCAATGTATTATTGAATAAAGCATAAAATTCTGTTAATATGACTTATACATGAATAGAAAAAAAAGCATTTTTTCAGATGTAGCTCACACAGGTGAGTATTATTGTATGCATAGAGAAAAAAAAAAGCTGTACCAATTATTTTTGGAATTCTAAGATGCTATTTTTAGTGCAGTTCATTTTTCTGTTAACTGATGAGTACTAGTGATGCACTTCTTAATGCAATACAAATCACAGAATCACAAAATGGTTAAGGTTGGAAGGGACTTCTAGAGATCACCTAGTCCAACCTGCCTGCTCAAATATTGAAGATTAGCAGAAAAGCTGCTGGAATCCTCTGTAAGGCTTACACGGAGGCAATTTTGTAGTGAGAGCTCAGAAAACTGAAAACTCACCCCCCAATATTTTTCTTCTCCCTCTTTCTCCCTCTCTCCCAAGCAATAGATATTTCTGTCATACATAGCAATACCAATAGAACAATAAAGCAAGTTGGGAAGTCTTCTCTCATCAGCTTTTCAAAATCATTCATGCTTTTGCCTCAAATTTCACTTGTGCTGGCATGGGAGGGAAATATTCCCTCCCTCCAAGCAAGCTCTTCCAGGCCCTTTCAAGTCCCTTAGTTCTGCTGTATGATGTGAACACCAGAGCAAGGGAGAGGCAGCTTGAAGCCCTCATGCGAACGCAAGGTGTCCATCTGCACACTGACTGTCCTACACCTACCTTGGTGGCCATGTGCTCCAGCGTAGCGGTTTCATGGTGACACCATCGGCAGCGTTCCCCGGGTCTGGTTCTGCGCCGAGAAACAGCTTCATCAAATACAGTAACAGGAAGCTGCACTTGGCAAGCCAATGAGGCAACAGCTTTCACGTCTTCTAAGGGTTTTTTTCTTTTTTTTTCTTTTTGTATCTGGTTAATCTTGGGAGAAAAAGGGCAACATAAATGAGTAAACGACAGCACCAAATGACTAGGACTTTTTTTTTTGGTTAAGTCTGCCAAAGCTATTTAGAAAATGATACCTAGCTACACAAACACAACATACTGCAAACCTCTTACCTAAGGCTTAATGCAGCCTACAGAAGAAAACAGCTCCACAGAAAGCAAGCACTGCTTTACTTAAATCTGTCCAGAACACAGAGATGCTTTTGGTAAAGGGATTTTACCACTTGCCTCTTGCAACAAATTCACCCCCAAATCAAATAAGAATCCATTAAAAACATATGATAATGACTTCAGGAGTTATCTGAATAGAATTACTTATTTTCAGAATCTGCATTAGTGTCCTTTCTTCCTACTGGTAGCAGCAAGCTTGTGAAGAGCTTTAGTCAATTAAGGATCCTTAATTAAGGATAACAGAATTTTATGCACTTCAGCAGTTTTCATGCTTATATATTCTTATATAAACTGAATCTGGGGCTAGATGGTGCTTTCACGGGAGTAATTCTTTTAACAGATAATCCTATTCAATGAGACCAGTGAATAATTCTTAAATCAGCATAGATCCTCTTTTCCCTTGGTGATCAGAATAATTTTTTTAGTATGTGGTCTGATTTTCTCATAAATACTGTGTGTGTTGGAATGATTCACTTCTGCTAAGAAACTAGGCACAATGACACTTCAAATATGTATATATTGGGCAACACAAGAACTGGCATACTAAGGAGAACTGAAACTGATGGCCAAGTTTAAAAGCTCTGAAACTGAATAAACAGATTGCTCTGAAAACAGTATCAGGACATACTTTAACCACCAGATGCACCTATTTGCTTCCTTTTCTTTCCAGCCAGAGCACGACCCTTTCAGCCACAGATTTTCTCATGATACGCTTGGGTCAATATGAAATGGCAGAATGATTATGGTTGGAAAAGACCTTTAAGATCATCGAGACCAACTGTAAACCCATCACCAGCATCCCTGCTAAACCATGTCCCTAAGTTCCTCATCTACACATTACTTAAGCACTGACAGGGACAGTGACTCCACAACTCTCCTGAGCAGCCTGTTCCAAGGCTTCGCCTCTCTTTCCATGTAGAAATTCTTCCTAATGTCTACCCTGAATCTTCCCTGGCACAACTTGAGGCCATTTCCTCTTGTCCTATGGGTAGTTATTCTGGAGAGATCACCCCCTGTCTCACTGCAACCTCCTTTCAGGTAGCTGTAGAGAGAAATAAGGTCTCCCCTGAGCCTCCTCTTCTCCAGACTAAATAACCCCAACTCCCTCCAACGCTCCTCATGAGGTCTTTGCTGCAGCCCCTTCCCCAGCTTTGTTGCCCTTCTTTGGACACTGAACACAGCATTCGAAGTGCAGCCTCACCAACCCCAAGTACAGGGGGACGATCACTTCTCTGGTCCTGCTGGCTACCCTGTTTCTAATACAGGCCAGGAGGCCCTTGGCCTTTTTGGCCACCTGGGCACACTGCTGGCTCATGTTCAGCTGGCTGTTGACCAGCACCCCCAGATCCTTTTCTGCCACGCAGCTGTCCAGCCATTCTGCCCCAAGCCTGTAGCGCTGCATGGCGTCGATGTGACCGAAGTGCAGGTCACAACTTGGCCTTGTTGAACGTCATACAGTTGGTTTCAGCCCACCAATCCAGCCTGTCCAGATCCCTCTGCAGAGCCTTCCTACCCTCATGCAGATTAACTCTTCCTCCCAGCTTAGTGTCATCTGCACATTTGCTGGGAGTGCCCTCAATTCCCTCATTCAGCTTGTTGATAAACAGACCGGTCCCAACACTGACCCCTGGGGAAACACCGCTCATGGTCGGTCGCCAGCTGGATTTAACTCCATTCACCACCACCACTCTTTGGGCCCAGCCATCCAGCCAGTTCTTCACCTAGCGAAAAGTCCATCTGTCTAAGCCATGAGCTGCCAGCTTCGCCAGGAGAACGCAGTGGGAGACTGTGTGAAAGGCCTTACTGAAGTCCAAGTAGATCAGGTCTACAGCCTTTTCCTCATCCAGCTAAGTAGGTCACCTGGTCATAGAAAGAGATCAGGTGGGTCAAGCAGGACCTGCCTTTCATGAACCTATGACGGCTAGGCCTGATCATCTGGTTGTCCCCCATGCTGAGTAATCACCCTCAAAACGATCTGCTCCATAAAGCACAGGCTGACAGGCCTGTAGTTCCATGGATCCTCCATATGACACTTCTTGTAGTTGGGCACCCTACTGGCAAGTCTCCAGTCACCTGGGACTTCCCTTTTTGAACAGGACTGTTGATAGATGATGGAGAGCAGCTTGATGAGCACTTCCATCAGCTCCCTCAGAGCCATCAGCTGGATCCCATCTGAGTCCGTTGACTTGTGAGTACCCAAGCTGAGTAGCAGGTCATTGACTGTTTCCTCCTGAATTATGGGGACCTCACATACACCATGCATGTCTTCTAGCTCAGGGAGCAAAGTACCTTGAGGATAACTGATCTGACCTAAATATGATGTAAAATAATCAAATCATTCTACACTTGAGGTCTTTTCTAAGCATGTGTCATGACCCCCACCAGCCTGGTGAAAGAGAGATTTATAGCAACTTGGATGGGAGATAGCTTAGATCCATTTCTAAAATAAATTTCAGTCAAATCTGAACGTTCTCTAGTCATTAGACAAGAGACTCTTTTTATCATTTCCCATCTGCCTTTTCCTGACACGGTCCTATTAGGAACTATGTCTGCTGGACTAGTTTTGCTCTTCTGTTCATGGTTCCTACACCGAAGTGAGGCAGAAGCAATTTTTATCCTTATTGAAAATAGAGAAATTTAGTGGACGCATTTTCATAGCTCTACTCTGTAAGAGTTGATGGTGGGTCTGAGGGATCAAAGGATGTTAGAGGGAGAAAACTCTATTTAATATATCCCTGGAAGTAAAGCTATATGTAAAAACAACAACAACAAAAACCTATTGACTGCATCACTATGGAACAATTTTATTTATGATAAGAGCAATACTTCTTTTTCACTGTTGTTCTGAGATCTAGATATGCCCAGTATCTCAAATCATTCCTCTCAGTACAAGCATTTTTGTTTAATATGGGGTTTCAGTGGTATGAGAAAGAACATCTGAGATAGATAGAAAAGCATTAACATGGGAAACTATCTTATCTACAAAAGAAGTGATGAACATTTTGTTGAAGTCCTTAGTAATTTTAGTGGTTATATTTGGGTTCACATAGGCTCCAGATCATATATTATAGAAACAAACACAGTTTGCAGATAAAAAGCAAGGTTGAGATTCCCAAACCAGAATAAAGTTCTTGTACTCCCATCACAAGCTATTCCTTCTACAGAAAGAGACTCTAAGAGTGTTATTCAGCACCAACTGAGAAGGGTGGGGGCTCTTCAGCACATCATAGGATGGCAATATGACTGTGGAAAGCTGACTCCTTTAAGCTGCTTGGAGTGAATAAGAGAATGAATTCCACAGACGAAGTCTTCTACTGGGATTATGTTGACCTACTCATTTAAGAAATTGCCAAAAGTAACCAGTTTATCTGTCATCACAACAGTATTTCCTGTGCATAAATTCCAGGTGTGCAAAGCTGTACAATCTGCTGGAATAAACATGGATTAGGAGCCATGAGCTGGTCTGGATGAAGTCACTCCGTCCCACTGCATGTACTAATGACATCGTGCAGCTTGTTTGGGTGTGAGCAAGTTTAGTAGATATTGCCTGATATCGCCTGATATTGTAAAATGCAAATTGCTTTACGAGTGTTTGGTATTGCTAAAAAAAGAAACAGGAAGCGCCAGTCAGTAAATGTCATCACCCAGACGCTTAGATTTCTCATCAACATGGTCAAGTGAGGCAGTGGCTGGTTTAACAACATCCTTCACGGAAAGAAATGTGTGAAATGAAGGCTTTTCTGTCACTCGGAAAAGCAGACTGCATGATGTCAGTGACAGCTCCTCCTTGTGTCTCAGTTCTCCCTCAGCACTTCAGCTGCCGTTTCTGCAGAGTGGTGATGCCAGTGGTCAGAAAGCCCTGCCCTAGGGATTTTTGTAGGGTGATCACTCATCTCCTGAGTTCTTCTGGGCAGTGTTCTTGAGCAGTGAGCTGGGTGAAAGCCATGGAAACCTGTCAATGCCTCTCTAGCCAGTAGCATGGCAGTTGCTGGCACTAAGTGCTGCCAAATAGATGTTTCTGCCTCGTTAGCAGTGCAAGTCCAAATCCACTTCCAGGAGGCCTCCCCAGGTCCTGATGATGCTGCCGTTGACCCTGGTGCTAACTGGTATTTCCAGGGGAAGCCCTGGGGCTCTCCTCTGTGGGACGTGCCTCCTACACGGGCGCTCCCTGCGGCACTGCCTGCTCCCCAAGCAAGACCAAAGGTCTTTCCTGCAGCCTGTGGGAGTTTCCTCACAGAAAGTGCCTGTGTTGCCTCTGCTGCGAATGATCTGGAGACAGCCTGAGCAGGGGCTGAGGACTGACTGGGGACAACAGCGGTTGGAAGGGGCAGGTGTGGGGGAACTGAGCTGGTGGCAGTTTGGAAGGGAGAGGTTTCATGGGAAACAGCTCCCGGAAAGACACACGTGTCTTCCAGAGGCCCCCAAGAGGGGAAACCATCAGGGTTTTACAACAAGGCCGCTCCTTCTGTAACAAACGAAGACCCTCTGCTCACCGACAATTCCCAAACGCGAAAAACGCCCGACACGCCCCGAGGCACCAAACCCAAACCTAAGATGGACCCTAGGTGGCTTCGCTTTCTCTTTCCTGCCCCATTCCAGCAGGGCGGCGCGCTTCCCGCCCCCGAGCCGCTTCCCTTGCCCTTTCTCAAAATGGCAGCCTCCGGCTTCAGCCTGCGGGCGGGGCGGGCTCGTTCCCCGCAATAAACCGCGGCGCCGCGCCCCCCCCGCC